CCTTGCTGCCCCTATCCACACTGTTCACAGGTGTATTTGCGGCGAGGCAGATGCTGACGAATATGGATTGCATGGCCTGCACTGTGGAAAATCGGGTGGTTGGCACACTAGACACGACGAAGTCAACGACATCATTAAAAGAAGCCTTGCCTCTGCTCAGTGTCCAGCGGAGAGAGAGCCCCGCAACCTACTGAACCGTGACACTGTTAGCTTTGCCGGCCGACCAGACGGAATCACACTGCGTCCGTGGAAGGGTGGCAGGCAGTTAGCATGGGACTATACTTGCGTATCCACCCTGGCAACGACATACATCACCCTCTCTGCCGGCACGGCAGGAGCCGCAGCGACACACAGAGAAAAACAAAAGTCAGTCAAGTACAGGCAATTAGATCAAAGGTACAATTTCGTTCCAATAGGGTCTGAGACCCTAGGCCCATGGGGTGAGAGTGCAAGAAGGTTTCTTAAGGATCTTGGTTCCAAGCTCATTGACACCACAAGAGACCCTAGAGCAGCAAGTTTTCTCTTTCAGCGCCTCAGTGTCGCGATCCAGAGGGGAAATGCCCGCTGCATCCTCGGTTCCTGCCCGGCGTCGGAGGAGTTCGAGGAAATCTACAGCCTCTAGGAAGCGAACTTTTTCTTGTGTCCTCTTAATGTTCATTTTTGTATAAAATCAGATATGTAACTGTATAACCTTGCATAATAAAGTGTACATCATAATAAAAAAAAAAGGGGGGTGGTAGGAGAAGTGAACACTCGTATTCAGAGTTAAATGTCAAGTTTTTCCCTGAGTGCTCTGTGTTCCCTTCTCTGAGGCTGTGGGTCCCTATAATTACACCAGTGGTGGTACCCCCCTATATATATATATATATATATATATATATATTTTTTTTTTTTAATATATGGAAGGGAGTACCACCTCTAGCTGGAAGAAGGGGGACCCATAGCCTCGGAGGAAACCACGCATAACGCATTAGAGGGAATGTTTAGATCCCCTCCAATACAGTTTCTGTGTGCTTTTCTCCTACCACCCCCTTCCTTTTTTATTTTTTGTGCACCAAGAGAGGCACACCCATCAACACCCCTACACAAGGCTACACCCATCAACACACATTTTTTTATTTTTTGTGCACAATATATATATATATATATATATATATATATATATATATATATATATATATATATATATATGTCGTACCTAGTAGCCAGAACGCACTTTTCTGCCTACTATGCAAGGTTCGATTTGCCTAATAAGCCAAGTTTTCATGAATTAATTGTTTTTCGACTACCTAACCTAACCTAACTTTTTCGGCTACCTAACCTAACCTATAAAGATAGGTTAGGTTAGGTAGGGTTGGTTAGGTTCGGTCATATATCTACGTTAATTTTAACTCCAATAAAAAAAATTGACCTCATACATAATTAAATGGGTAGCTTTATCATTTCATAAGAAAAAAATTAGAGAAAATATATTAATTCAGGAAAACTTGGCTTATTAGGCAAATCGGGCCTTGCATTGTAGGCTGAGAAGTGCGTTCTGGCTACTAGGTACGACATATATATATATATATATATATATATATATATATATATATATATATATATATATATATATATATATATATATATATATATATGTCGTACCTAGTAGCCAGAACGCATTTCTCAGCCTACTATGCAAGGCCCGATTTGCCTAATAAGCCAAGTTTTCATGAATTAATATATTTTCTCAAATTTTTTTCTTATGAAATGATAAAGCTACCCATTTCATAATGAATGAGGTCAATTTTTTTTATTCGAGCTAAAATTAACGTAGATATATGACCGAACCTAACCAACCCTACCTAACCTAACCTAACCTATCTTAATAGGTTAGGTTAGGTTAGGTGGCCGAAAAAGTTAGGTTAGGTTAGGTAGGTTAGGTAGTCAAAAAACAACTATTTCATGAAAACTTGGCTTATTAGGCAAATCGGGCCTTGCATAGTAGGCTGAGAAGTGCGTTCTGGCTACTAGGTACGACATATATATATATATATATATATATATATATATATATATATATATATATATATATATATATATATATATATATATATATATATATATAAAAATAAATATGACAGTGTCAGACCACGGAGGAAAATTGAAACGGGAATTTCCTTAAGTACTTTCGTATATTAATACATCTACAGGAGGAGACTCCTTCTGAAGATGTATTAATATACGAAAGTACTTAAGGAAATTCCTGTTTCAATTTTCCTCCGTGGTCTGACACTGTCACATTTTTAATCACGTGTTTATTTTCGTGATACACACACACACACACACACACACACACACACACACACACACACACACACACACACACACACACACACACACACACACACACACACACTATATATATATATATATATATATATATATATATATATATATATATATATATATATATATTATTAAATATGACCGAAAAAGTAAGATTAATAATTCTAACACGAATTTTCTCAATCTTTCGTACATTACGCTTCACTGTTGGAGGTAAATCAAAAATCACTTCTCCAAAATTCATTTTTATTTCTAGTCTGACGCGACACGGGCGCGTTTCGTAAAACTTATTACATTTTCAAAGACTTCACAAATACACAACTGATTAGAACTAACGTATCTCTGCTATTATATCTACATTTGAGTGAGGTGGGAGGGATGATGTGGCATATAATGATGTGGCATTAGGGGATATTAATAGGGTATTAAAAGTATCAACACAAGACAGAACAGAAACAATGGGTATTGAATAGAAGTGTTTGTAGAAAGCCTATTGGTCCATATTTCTTGATGCTTCTATATTGGAGCGGAGTCTTGAGGTGGGTAGAATATAGTTGTGCAATAATTGGCTGTTGATTGCTGGTGTTGACTTCTTGATGTGTAGTGCCTCGCAAACGTCAAGCCGCCTGCTATCGCTGTATCTATCGATGATTTCTGTGTTGTTTACTAGGATTTCTCTGGCGATGGTTTGGTTATGGGAAGAGATTATATGTTCCTTAATGGAGCCCTGTTGCTTATGCATAAGCAACAGGGCTCCATTAAGGAACATATAATCTCTTCCCATAACCAAACCATCGCCAGAGAAATCCTAGTAAACAACACAGAAATCATCGATAGATACAGCGATAGCAGGCGGCTTGACGTTTGCGAGGCACTACACATCAAGAAGTCAACACCAGCAATCAACAGCCAATTATTGCACAACTATATTCTACCCACCTCAAGACTCCGCTCCAATATAGAAGCATCAAGAAATATGGACCAATAGGCTTTCTACAAACACTTCTATTCAATACCCATTGTTTCTGTTCTGTCTTGTGTTGATACTTTTAATACCCTATTAATATCCCCTAATGCCACATCATTATATGCCACATCATCCCTCCCACCTCACTCAAATGTAGATATAATAGCAGAGATACGTTAGTTCTAATCAGTTGTGTATTTGTGAAGTCTTTGAAAATGTAATAAGTTTTACGAAACGCGCCCGTGTCGCGTCAGACTAGAAATAAAATGAATTTTGGAGAAGTGATTTTTGATTTACCTCCAACAGTGAAGCGTAATGTACGAAAGATTGAGAAAATTCGTGTTAGAATTATTAATCTTACTTTTTCGGTCATATTTAATAATATATGTCTACAGGAAAGACTGCTACCAAAATATACTAATATATATATATATATATATATATATATATATATATATATATATATATATATATATAAATAATAATAATAATATGTATGTATATAATATTAAATACAGACCAAAATGAGCAACATTTAGTGGGCCAGCCTGAGGCACAGAGCCCAAGCGGTACTGTCCCTTAAAAAATGGGCTCTATAAATAAACAGAATAGAAGAGATTTTTAGGGGTGTTGGTGATTGGCGGGCGGCGTCAATTTCCCTAGCCTTGCTTGGACTATCCTGGCCTATCCTCGAGGATAGTGTATATAATCGACTATCCTCGCCTTCCAGAATACTGATGTTTTCACGTCCGTCTGGATCACATCCCACTGGAGGATGGCAAGCATACCCGTAGTTTACCTGGAGTTGGTTTCGAGAGTTTTACTATCAATTTCCCTAGCCTGGCTTGGGGTCAATTTTGTGTTAACATGATGTAAAAGGTCTTCGCTTGTAGCGGTCCGCAGGTCCACTACAACCTGGCTGATCATACACTTCGTGCAGGAGAGGGTTCCTGCAATATATACATTGGCAAGTCTATATAAAAATACAGCTGTATGTGCTCATCGTGTGATATATTTTATTATGATTTAATTGTGCTGTATATACAATGTTTTAATGAAGGAATAATGTAAATACAGAAAAGTATTCTGAAATATCATGTGTTAATTTACATTTGGTATGGATAATGATAGCCAATTGTTGTCACGTAACGATGCTTTATTAACTTTGTAAACATCTTGATACAAAATATATATTTCAGACTATTCGTGTTCAGATCAGCATCTGATCGCAAAAAGGTGGGACATGACCGTGGCACCTCAGGCTCGCCCCCCAGGCGTAGTGGGGCATGGGGCAGCCAGGCCAGGTGGAGTGGGGCAGAGGGGGGGGGGGGCGGGGATATGGTGGGATGGGTGCCGTAGGTTGATAGGGGCTGGCACTAGGTGGGTATGGGTTTGATAGAAAGGGAAGAATGGGTGTGCAAAAAGCTGGGGTAGAAAGGAATATGCATGGAGCCAGGTATATTGTGGACAAATATGGGGATAGGCAGCCAGAATACTATCCCACAGTGGCAGGGTACGTAGGACAAGGCAGGGATAGGGGCAAGGATGCCAGGAGACAAATGAGCCTAGCACAGTCTATTATATCAGACCAACAAAGCGTTAAAACATAGTATAAGAAATATTGCTGGAACAACCGTTGACATCTTCAAGAGAAAACTAGATAATTTTCTTCAAGAAGTTCCGGTCCTACCGGGCTGAGGTGGATATGTGGGCCTGCGGGCTGCTCCAAGCAACAGCCTGGTGGACCAAGCTCTCACAAGTCAACTCTGGCCTCGGGCCGGGCTTGGGGAGTAGAACTTCTGGCCAAGATGCCACCAGCACCCAGGGCGGTTCTGACCAAGGTGCCACCAAGCACCCAGGGCCGAGCAAGGTAAGGTAAGGGCGGTTCTGACCAAGGTGCATTACCTAGGCTAGAACCTGCCTTCGTGAAGGTAGCGTATTAGTCCAATAATATTTGACGAAAGAATATCTAAGTTTAACACAGTCATTAAGCAGAAGAATACAGCGAAAGTCTTGAGAACTAAGCGGACAGTATTGAAGGGACGCTTAAAGGAGCTTAAACATGTACATAGAGGCGGCTACAGGCTAGAGCTACGCCGGGCGGCTACAGGCTAGAGCTACGCCGGGCAGCTACAGGCTAGAGCTACGCCGGCCGGCTACAGGCTAGAGCTACGCCGAGCGGCTACAGCTACGCCGGGCAGCTACAGGCTAGAGCTACGCCGGGCAGCTACAGGCTAGAGCTACGCCGGCCGGCTACAGGCTAGAGCTACGCCGGGCAGCTACAGGCTAGAGCTACGCCGGGCTGCTACAGGCTAGAGCTACGCCGGGCAGCTACAGGCTAGAGCTACGCCGGGCAGCTACAGGCTAGAGCTACGCCTGGCTGCTACAGGCTAGAGCTACGCCGGGCTGCTACAGGCTAGAGCTACGACGGGCAGCTACAGGCTAGAGCTACGCCGGGCGGCTACAGGCTAGAGCTACGCCGGGCTGCTACAGGCTAGAGCTACGCCGGGCGGCTACAGGCTAGAGCTACGCCGGGCTGCTACAGGCTAGAGCTACGCCGGGCGGCTACAGGCTAGAGCTACGCCGGGCAGCTACAGGCTAGAGCTACGCCTGGCTGCTACAGGCTAGAGCTACGCCGGGCTGCTACAGGCTAGAGCTACGCCGGGCGGCTACAGGCTAGAGCTACGCCGAGCGGCTACAGGCTAGATCTACGCCGAGCGGCTACAGGCTAGAGCTACGCCGGGCGGCTACAGGCTAGAGCTACGCCGAGCGGCTACAGGCTAGAGCTACGCCGAGCGGCTACAGGCAATAGAGCTACGCCGAGCGGCTACAGGCTAGAGCTACGCCGAGCGGCGACAGATATCTATAGATAGATTGGGTACACTGGCGTTGCATGGTGGCGAGGGGGCACATAGGGTGCTGGCGTAGGGTACACCGGCTTGGGTGCCTGGTAGGGCTTTGGGGCAGGTTTGTACACGGGCGGTGGGTTGTAGGCTGGCTTATATTCCGGGTAAATAGGCTCGCCCTCGTAGGTGACCTGGGCCTGGTAGCCGTTGTATTCGTCGGCGACGTAGTTGACGGTCTGGATGCGTCCGTCGGGCAGCGCCACGGAGTACGAACCCTTCACAGCCTTCCCGTCGGAGTTCTCAGAGTGGCCGAAGTTGGCGCCGGAGTAGTCGTCCCGGACACCGTAGTCGAAGGCGTATGGCTTGGCTTCCTAAACACAAACAAACATTTAATAAACACAAGTGGTTACAAGTCAGATCTACTCCTGTTGTCAGGTGTAGGGGCTCACCCTTCCCATAGCTCATGGTAGACTATAACTTCTAGTGTTTCCTGTAACACGACTCGCCAATCGGTTTACAACCATATCCCCCTCCCCCCAGTTACTGATTATGAGTGCCTCTGTAACCGCCGCCCACGGGATGGGTATGGGGTGCATAATAAAGAATGGAATGGAATTGGACACTGGTAAGTGGAGAGGGAGGGGGGGGATATATAAGGAGTGGCGCTGAGTGGTTGGGATGAGGGCAGTAGCCGAGAATACGGCAGTAACTGTATTGCTTAAGTTATATTAACACTCACTTCTTTGTAGACAGGTCCAGGGCGATAAGCTGCCACTGGCTTGTAGACGGGTTCTGGCTTATAAACGGGCTCTGGCTTGTAGACGGGCTCTGGCTTGTAGACGGGCTCTGGCTTGTAGACGGGCTCTGGCTTGTAGACCTGAATTGGTGGGCGGTAGGGTGCGGCCGTAGGGTGGAAGGGTGCGGACGCGTAGAGAGGACGGTAGAGATCCACCGCCAAGGTGCTGGCGGCTACTGTAAGAACGACGACGATGACCTGTGTGGGGACCAGCACATGGGGTGAGGGGAGGTCACTTGGTAAGAGGAGGAGAGTAGGGGGAGAGTGAGGAGAGGTGGAGAGAGCGTGGAGTTAGCAGAGGGAGGGATTAAGATAGCTCCAGGACCTTGTAGTTCTACACGTGGGTCTTCAGCGTGTGTGAGAGAGATTGAATGGGAAGGGGAACTATCAGGAGGAAGCGCCAAGCAATTACGACTATATAGCACTGGGAAAGGGTCAGGATGAGGATTTGGGATGGGACGGGGGGGAAGGAATGGTGCCCAACCACTTGTGGATGGTCGGGGATTGAACGCCGACCTGCATGATGCGAGACTGTCGCTCTACCGTCCAGACCCAAGTGTATGAGATTGAATGCATGTGATAATCAGAAGTTATGTTGGTCTGTTTTAATAGGTTTCTCTCTACTAGCAAAGAGGTTATTGTTCTGGCCAAGGAACCAAAGCTCTATTGCCTCGGAAGAATCTATGTGATTTGCAGTTCTCTTTAAGATAGTTAACCCGAATATGTTAACTTAAGAGAGTTAACCTTGTTAATCTTACCCCCCACAGTCTTGAACAACTAAGAGTAGAACTCCCCACAGTCTTAAGCAACAAGAGTAGAGCAACTTGTAGAACCCCTCGAGGTATTTTTCAGGTATATTCCAGTTTCAGAAGTGTCTAGCCAAATGGAGAAATGGTGTATCTCACTGTGTCTGTCATGGTGGTGAGTCCTGACCCATGAATGGGGTGATCTTGTTATCATCCGGACCCGGCACTCAGACTTCCGACTGCCACCACTCACATCCTCCTTACCACAACTATTACAACAACACCTCTTATAATCACCACTTAAGGGCAGGCCTAATGTATGAAAATAGTCTGGTCAGTGAGTGCATACAGTGACACCACCTGGTTATATCCACTGACATAGTTAACACCCATCATTAGCAGCATACGCTATACTGGCCAATATAATAACTGCCTTTAGAAACGTGTGTAGGGAATCGTTCAGGACCCTGTATACCACTTACGTCAGACCATTTCTGGAGTATGCAACTCCAGCCAGTTCATACTTAAACACGAGACAAAGTTAGAAAAGATTCAGTGGTATGGCACCAGACTAGTCCCAAAACTGAGAGGTATGAGCTACGAGGAAATGTTAAGGGAGCTAAACCTGACGTCCCTGGAAGACATAAGAGTAAAGGGAGACATGATAACCACCTACAAAATTCTTAGGGAAACTGACAAGATGGAGAAAGACGAACTTTAGCACGGGCGGAACACGCACAAGGGGACACAGGTGGAAACTGAGTACCCAAATGACCCAAAGAGACATTATAAATAATTTTTCAGTCTCATACTTATTAACAAATGGAATGCATTAGGCATTGATGTGGAGGAGGCAGACTCCATACATTATGGACATTTTAGAGCCCAGTGGGCTCAAGAATCTGTACACCAGTTGATTGACAGTTGAGAGGCGGTACCAAGGAGCCAAAGCTCAACTTCCGCAAGCACAACTAGGTGAGTACAACTTGATAAGTACACAGGGGCCTGACGGATGAGTGGACAGCGCTCGGGATTCGTAGTCTTACGGGTTCGATCCCCGGCGGAAGCGGAAAAAATGGGCAAAGTTTTTCACCCTGATTGTTGTTCAATCAGGGATTGATTGTTGTTTACTGCTAGGGTGTTCACCTAGCAGTAAATAGGTACCTGGGAGTTAGACAGCTGCTACAGTCTGCTTCCTGTGTGTGTGTGTGTGTGTGTGTGTGTGTGTGTGTGTGTGTGTGTGTGTGTGTGTGTGTGTGTGTGTGTGTGTGTGTGTGTGAATGTGTGTGTGTACAAAAACAAATCAGTTGATTGACAGTTGAGAGGCGGGCCCAAAGAGCCAGAGCCCAACCCCCGCAAGCACAACTAGGTGAGTACACATCGATTTTACTTTCCCCATCACTGCTGTGTGTGTCTGGGTGGGTGGGGGGGGGGACCTAATGCCATGAATTAGCGGAGAGGAAATTGTTATTCGTAGGCGTGGCCCGGGCGAGTGTGGGAGGTCAGAGGTCATGGGGCGTGGGAGGGACGTGGGGGAGGAAGATTGGAGGTCATAGAATGGAAATTAGATGGTTGACGAGAAATGAGAAACGGGTGTGGTGGTGGGGCAGGTGAGGGAGGTGAGGGATAGTGGAGGAGAGTGGAGGAGAGTGGAGGAGAGTGGAGGAGAGTGGAGGAGAGTGGAGGAGAGTGGGGGAGAGTGGGGGTGAGTGAGGGAGAGTGGGGGTGGTGGGGGAGAGGTTGTAGTCTCTTGCCTCAAATTGCGTAATAGTTCCGGGATGGCTGTTGCATGTTCAGCAGAGTAGATGGATGTTACGTTACAGTTGATGGATGTTAGGTTACAGTTGATGGATGCTACGTTGTGATATCTACCCGTGAGTAACATACTCACAGGGATCCCATGCTGGGTATTGTTGTATTGACTCGTTAAGTTTTTAGGTTGTTTGTCCACTTGGACTCGTTGGTAGAGCGACGACTCCACTTCTTGCGGGTCGTCGTTGGGTCCTTGACGACTCAAGTGGTTGGACACCGCTCCTTCTCTCTGTCCTCCTATCCCAGCTCCTGTGCTGTTTACCTAGTCCTTCCATGTGCTGTAGTCATACAGGCTTGGCGCTTTTTCCTCATACTCAACCTCTCAAGTTGATGTAATTAAGAGTCAAAGGTCCAAGAGCTTCAAGATAGTCACATAACACAGGTTAATGTGGACTGACAGAAGGAAGAGTGTCTCTAGCACCTGGTCAACTAGTGACGTGGACTACGTGATGAGGAAGTAAACTGAGTATACGTGGACCACGTGACGAAGTAAACTAACTATACGTGGACCACGTGATGAGGAAGTAAACTGACTATACGTGGACCACGTGATGAGGAAGTAAACTAACTATACGTGGACCACGTGACGAAGTAAACTAACTATACGTGGACCACGTGGAGGCATATCATAAATGATGCCACAAGGTAATCTCATTTGAAATGAAGTCCTCGGTCAAGATTCATCAAGCATTTACGCACTCACTTACGAAACCCGTACATCTTTCCCTCAGTCATACGGCTTTGTCTACGTTTGTTAAACGGTTCACGAGCTTCGAAGATAACAACTCAACGTTCTTAGTGTAATAAACTCGTTGTGCTTCAGAGCTCATAGACTGTTTAATTAATTTAAACACAGTCGCCAGGATTGTTGAATAATATTCAGGTTTCGATTCATCAATTTTTGATGAGTCGTGTCCCAGATGAATAAAAGGCGAATTTGGGAAATAGAAATAGAATTGTCTTTGACAAAGAGGTCACAAAGAGTAATATTAAACCAAACTATCCATGTACTTTCCAAGCATACTCAACATTAGAGGTATACCGTTGTTGTTAAAAGATTCGCTACCTGGAACAAAAAGTTCCAAGTAGCACGGGCTATGGTGAGCCCGTAGTACCTTAGGTATACCGACGCTCATACGGTTAACTGTTACCAGTACTGACACTAGCTTATTAACCGACACGGTTACCGATCCTCCGATACTATTACAAAAACCGATACTGCGATAGCGATTCGTCGTTAACCTTTGGGGGACCGTCTAGAAGTAAAGGAGGGCTGACAGCTGAGTGGACAGCGCTTCGGATTCGTAGTCCTGAGGTTCCGGGTTCGATCCCCGGTGGAAGCGGAAACAAATGAGCAGATTTTCTTTCACCCTGATGGCCCCCTGTTCACCTAGCAGTAAATAGGTACCTGGGAGGTAGACAGCTGTTACGGGCTGCTTCCTGGGAGTGAGTAACAAAAAGGAGGCCTGGTCGAGGACAGGGCCGCGGGGACGCTGAGCCCCGAAATCATCTCCAAGATAACCTGAAGATAACCACCATGGAAAATATGAGTGGCGACATCATAGAATCTTCGGTGATGCCGCCTCCATATCCTTATTTTTCCTGGCATCACTTGTACGTGGGAATATGATTCTGGCATGGAATCATGGCGTATTATAGGAGAACCAGGCCAACCAGGCAGTGGTTGGCGCGTCAGAATGCGAACAGCGTCGTCGTCTTACAGCCTACTTGACCGGACTGGGAACAAGGTGTGGTGGAGGGTGTAGTGTGGAGTATAATTGTGTAGTATGACTGTGTAAGGGGTGTGAAAGTAGCTCAAACCCTCGATATCGTTGAAAAAAGGGCGACAGGTTATAAAGAAGTATTCAGAGAAAATAGGAAGATAATGGACATTATAATGGAAAACAGATGGAACAGTAGAGGAAAGAAGAGGAGAAAAACAAGAGATATTAGTTATAGGAAAGTAAATTGTGAAAGAGGAAACCTAAAATAAACAATAGTAATCCCCAACCACTTCGACGGTCCGGTATTGAACACCGACCTGCACGTAGTGAGACCGGCGCTCTACCGTCCAGGCTAAGTGGGTGGAAATAACACAAGCACTACGGGAGTTATGGAGTGGGAAGGTATCCAAAAGATATAATTGGTGAATGAAAGAGAGTGGAAGGGTGAGAAAAGGAGAAGCCTTGTGTTGTATGGTATAAACACAAATATAAATATATATATATATATATATATATATATATATATATATATATATATATATATATATATATATATATATATATATATATATATGTCGTACCTAGTAGCCAGAACGCACTTCTCAGCCTACTATGCAAGCCCCGATTTGCCTAATAAGCCAAGTTTTCATGAAATAATTGTTTTTCGACTACCTAACCAACCTAACTTTTTCGGCTACCTAACCCAACCTAACCTATAAAGATAGGTTAGGTTAGGTAGGGTTGGTTAGGTTCGGTCATATATTTACGTTAATTTTAATTCCAATAAAAAAAATTGACCTCATACATAATGAAATGGGTAGCTTTATCATTTCATAAGAAAAAAAATAGAGAACCTTTATTAATTCAGAATAACTTGGCTTATTAGGCAAATCGGGCCTTGCATAGTAGGCTGAGAAGTGCGTTCTGGCTACTAGGTACGACATATATATATA